TTGAGGGCCTGTTCCCACAACGTGGCCTTCAATTTTAAGACCCTGTTCTTCAGGGCTTGGGACATCTTGCCTTTGCACATGGCACAAGCCTTCGGATCATGGGACTCACCCAGGCAAAAAACACACTGTTCGTGGCGATCCGAAGTTGGGATCTTCGAGCCACAGGAGGAACAATATTTAAAAGATGCCATGTCCATAAGAAAAATTCAAGCAGAATCGTAGTCAAAAACTGGTACAAGTCAAACGATCAGGAAAACAGTCACAAAATCATAATCCAAGTAAGTAGGTCAAGACAGAAATAGGTCAGAAGCCGAATGGGTCAAAAATCTCCAAAAGGAATAAGCGACTCTACAGCAACGTTCTTTGCTAACTGCAATAGCGATGGACGAAAGGAACTGGAGAAAGAGCGGGAACACCAGGGGATTTATAGAAGTGGGCAGAGCTACTGCCAAAAAGTTGCAATCCAAGTTTTGCCCAGTGATTCTAGAACTTTCTGAGCTAGCTGCGCAGGCGCAAATAAAACCCATTTGTGTGATTCACAAAGTCCACGAAGAAGAAGTTAACCTCTCCTGCTGCTATGTCTCAGACTTTGTCAAAGTGATGCTGATCAAAATTTGCTTGTTACAAGTGATGTGAATTTGTGTTCATTAAAAATCAAACATAAATCTAATGATCACTTAGTCAAATATTTAATAAACTATGGATTCCTTTCTACAGTGACAAAATCACTTATTCATTAGGTTCTGTGCAATGTAGCTCAAGACTGAGAAAACATCCAGATATTTACTCCTTTACATCCAAATACCATATTTTCCTTATACAAGATATTTGCATTTAGCTACATTACCAAACACTCACTGAAATGTATATTTAATACTTATGCAGTCAAGTCATTCTTCTTGTGGTCTTTTAGAATACGACCTGAAGATTTAACTTTGCAGAGAGGTGACAAGTATGTGCTGACAATTAAGAAAAAACCTTTCAATACATTAAGGATGTGGTCTGAGTGCGGAAAACCGGACACATTTCTGCACTACACTCTTATAGTGCTCCTATTCCACTATTAGTGCTCTGGCTGCCTCCTGTTGCATTCTCGGATTTGCAGTTAAGGGGGGGGGGCATTTGAAATTCTCAACCAGGGAGCTATTAGGCCTCACTGAACTACAAGCCTCAGAATGCAACAGGAGGCAGACAGGGCAGTAATAGTGTAATAGCAGCACTATAAGAGTGTAGCGCAGAAATGTGGCAAACCTAAAAGATTAATCATACAGCTTCACTTTTAAAAGACAGATTATATTGTTTCACTTGAGAATCAAAGCAATTTAAGTTAAAATTTGGAAGAGGAAAAGTATGTACCTTCCATTCTTTCACTTTCTCAACAAACTTCTCAGTCCTTGCTTCCTGACCATCAATATCAGCTCTGATTATTTTCACGTCATTTTCAGTGTCTCTTACCTTAAATGTAATATTAAGATCACCACACAGTAAATAGTATCAAAACAAAATCAAAATTAAATTACATTGCATTGCATTAAATAGCAGATAGTGGAACACAGTGATTACCATTATCCAAGCTGTTTGATTCTGTAACTCCTTTAATTCATTTTGCATTTCACTCAAAGCAGCTATACTTCTATAGCGTTCCTCTTTCTCCAAAAACTTCTCCCTAAGTTCTTCAAGAAACTTTTTTTTTTTTAAAAAAGATGATGAATAGAAATGGTAGCAAAAGGGATACTATGATACTTTTCAAAGTTTAATAGCAGCAAAACTGTTCAGGAAAACTCAATGTCAGTTGATATAAGGCACTAACAATACAAGGCGTGGCAATATGTTAACAAAAATAAATGCATCCAGTAAAAAACATTTGGCCCAATTCATACGTTAAAGATGTTAAAAGTCATAGTTTAACAAGGGAGCTGTTCATTCCTCATTCCACCTCTTGTTCTTTCCTAACTTCCCATGATAACCAATCTAGCTTGTAAAGAACCCTTAAAACAATTTTCTAGTATGGCTATCACAAGAAATAGTGGCCTAAGAAACCAGCTAACCATCATTAAAGCTGGGTGTGCAAAGTGTGAAGGAAATGGAAAATGATGAAGAAGCACAAAGATTATTTCCCAACACAATAAAACATGATCTAGTTTTAGATTGAATTGGGCCTTAGTTTTTTTTTAATCCACCTGAATTAACTGAATTTTAACTTTTTAGTATATTATGGTTACAAATTACATGAAAGTGCTTCATACCTCTGCTCCTTGTTCAACCTGATCACTTGTTCTTGTTTTGGCTGCCACTATGTAGGAATAACCTTCTTTCATCTGTTCCAGCTGCGTTGCTTTTATAAAGAACTATCTCAAGAAAAATCAAGTTCATGTGTTAAATCTTCTTTCAAAATTATGGGCAGAATCATTTTTGTTGTTCAATAAAGCCCCATTTCATTCACCAACACCCCAACTCAACATGTGCAGGTGGGTTCAAAAAGCAGCAGCACGGGGACTCTCCCAGGAATGCTAATTCTGCACATGATTCCTATATCACCCATCTAGCCCTTCACCATTCCACTACTTGAAAATTAGGTATTGATTGCATCCACAAGTTTCCTGCTTCTTATATTGGTCTGTCATGCTTCCTCTGCACAAAGATGTTATATACATGTTATACACTACAGACTCTACTATATAGTAATTTTGATTACCTTGTATTTATCAACTTCACTTTTAGACTGCAAAAATTGTTTGCTCATTTCTTGGGTAAGTACAGACACAGGATTATCAACCTGCAAAAATAACAACATATATATTACATGTTTAATATATATATATATATTAAAAAGTAGCCAAAGGACAAAACAATATATAAGAAGTGTAAGTTAGCACACCTGAAAAATTTGCTGGTACACACTAACTACTCCCATCTGACTCCTCTGACAAGCAGGGGTGGCTAAACAATCATCCACTAATTCATCATTTATTTTTGTTGTTAACTGCCTTCGAGTCGATCTTGACCCATGGCGAGCCTATGGATGAGACATGTCCAAGACTCTTGTCCTTCACTGTTCTGCTTAGTTCCTGCAAATTCATACCTGTGACCTTAATAGAACCCATCCATCTAGCACAGGGGTAGGCAACTTTTCCCCTTTAAGGGCCGAGGGACTTCAGCTCCCAGAATCCCAGGAGCTATTGGCCAACATGGGACTATTGGCCAACATTACTGAGGCTTCTGGGAGCCGAAGTCCCTCGGCCCTTAAAGGGGAAAGGTTGCCTACCCCTGATCTAGCATATAGTCTTCCTCTCTTTCTACTTCCCTGAACCTTTCCCAGTATTATTGTTTCTTCTAATGAATACTTTCTTTTCATGATATGTCCAAAATATGACAGCCTAATGAGTTTATCGCATTGTTAAATAACTCGCCTTACCTGATCTAGCTTAAAATTAAATTCGGGCAGTGTCCAAACAATATCGCAAGGGTTTGCTGCTGACATCACTGCCCAGGACCATCCTGGAGCCATCCCTGCTCCTGGAACCACTCCGGCAACCATTTTCTCAAGCCAGAAAAATCCTGGCATTGAAAAGAATCGCGCTGAGTGGCTCTAGGA